AGCTATTGTGAATTATGCTGCTTTGAACATCGATGTAGCAGTATCCCTATAGTATGCTCAAAAAGAAAGAATTTAAAATATTAACTTCAAAGTCACAGATCAGGACCAAATGCACTATCCTTCAATGTGACCATCTCACTTTTTTCTCTGTGGCTTGTTACCATGAAGTACTGCTGTATCTTCTCCTCTTTACTCCTCCTCCTCTTCCTCTTCCTTTTCTTCCTATAGATTTTTAATGTTTTTTTTAAAAATTATTTAAAAAATTTTATTTAGTTTTTATTTTTTTCCACATTTAACATAATGATGGGATGGATTTGTTGTTACATATTCATACATGCACACAATATTAAAATATAATTTGGCCAATATCACTCTATAGCACTTCCCCCCTCCCCTCCATCTCCCACCCTTTTGTCCTCTCCTCATGTCATTCATCCCCATCTCTCTTTCCCTTTTTCCTCTCCAGCTTCTGCTTGTGAGAGAAAACATAAAACCCTTGGCCTTCTGAGTTGGACTTATTTTGCTTAACATAATCATCTCTAGTTTCATTCATTTTCCTGCAAATCACATACTTTTATTCTTCTTTATGCTGAATAAAACTCCACTGTGTATATAGACCACATTTTCTGTATCTATTCATTCATTGATGGACACCTAGGCTGGTTCCATAGTTTGGCTACTGTGAATTCTGCACTATAAACATGGGTATGCATGTGTCACTTTAGTAAGATGAATTAATTCTTTAGGATAAATACCAAGAAATGGTACAGCTGGTTATGGTGGTTTTGAGGAACCTCCATACTGATTTCCACAGTGGCTGTACTAATGTACAGTCCCACCAACAGTGTTAAAGTCTTCCTTCTTCTTCACATCCTCTCCTGCTGCTGTCACTTCTGCCAGTCATCTTGTGACTTGCCTTGTTTTTCTCTTTCTCGTCCTTTTTCTTCCCTTCCTCATTTTCTCCCGTCCATTTCTCCTTTTCCCAATCCCTTATCACGTGTCAGGCACTTAGCTCAAACATAGTGTGTGCACTTAAGTGCACAACACACTTTCCATTAGTAACAATGTTGATTCAACCCATCTGGGGCCAGTATTACCAAGAATCCCAGGAGTGACACTCCAGGAGTGACAACTGTGCTGCCTGCCAGTTCCTGGCTGTGCCCAGGCAGGCTGGAATGGAGACCAGGGACCAGGTGCCCTGAGATAGATGGGAATGGTTCTGGTCATGTGATGCTCAGTGGCAGAATATTCATTGGTGTTGTTCATTCATTGGTGAAATTCTTTTGGTTAGTTTTATTTTTATTATGTAGGAGGTGAGTTTTACAGGGGAGTGAGCTAGATGAAGCCTGGAGATGCCCCTTATTGACATTCTTAAAGGATAATCACATTCAAAGTCTCTGGGACTCCATCTGGAAATGGCACGAGGGCTCACCTCTGCTTCCCCTCTGCCCACAGGTGGGAGCCCCTAACTCTAAGCCCCTGAGGGTATGCAGGAAGGAGTGTTAGTAGCTAGTCAGCCATGAATGGGTGTGCAGGGGAAGGACCATGAAGGTCCACTAAAGCCACAGGAAGCCTTAGCTGATAGACAAGCACCTGGAAGACGGGGGCGTGGATTATTAAAACCTCCCCCAGCCATTGTTACATCCCCTTAGAAAAAACTAGTGTTTCAAGATCATGCCACACCCTACCAGGTGGCCTGGACCTTCCCTTGTCACCCAAACTATCACATCCCCCAATCTCTCAGGCAACCAAAACATCAAGACCCCCATAAAGAAAGCTTGTGGAGGCCTATTCACAGAGTAAAGGGGAAGGAAACTAAGGCAAAAACAGGAGGACTCAGTTTCCTAAAAAAAACCCCAACACTCTGTGAGCACCACACTATCCTTTCTTCAAGGTTGTCTGTGCATTTCCTGTGCTGTCAGTCAAAAGGTGGGCTTGGGCAGGACTCTCTGGAAACGTCCCTGGGACCCCCTGTTGCGGCACATCTGAAATAAATCACTGGGTCTGTTCTTGGAGCAAGACACGGAGCCTTAATTTGCCGGTGGGCCGAAGGCAAGTCACCTCTGCAACCTTTGACAACTTGCAGAAGGTAGGGTACACTCTTCACAGCCCCAAAACAGAAGCTACCAGTAAGTCAAAACCATAGCAATGTCGGGAGTGGGTAAGAATGACCCAGTACAGACAGTCGGGGTATGTTCCCCAAGAAAAACGGGAACCGAAACGAGAACACAATAATATATTGTATAAGAATAACAGAAACATTTTCCAACTGTCATGCATTTCTAAGCAGGGTGTGCTAAGCAGGATGGATATCATAGGCAGAGTTTTCTCACAGAGGTATTTCTGATTCGAAATGGAGTCTCAGCATAAAATGGAGTTTGTCTGGTCAAGGCACATATAGTTTGTCCCATAACACCTCAATAAAGCTAGAGGGCAGGAGGGGCCCCCTGTCCTGTCCTCTCTGAGAAGACCCGCACTCTCTCCCTCAAGGGTGTCCCCCTTTCCCTTTTCCTATTCCTTACAGTAAACTCATGCTTGCTGCTCTGAGCTACACACCTGAAATCTTTCTGGAGTAACTACATGGATGGTGGAGAGGCGGCCTCCATGGCTGCCTCAGCTTTGTGGCAGACTTGTGTTCTGGTTCAGGAAGGGGTTCTTCTCTTACCTCCTTCTGTCTCCTCACTGCAGTTCTTGCCTTGCAGCAGCCCCAGGGTATGGACCACAGTGAGGAGATGTGGAGGGCAGGAAGGAAGGCGTCCCAGGATGGGACAGGGGAAGGATGTCTTGGCCCCTCCCTTCCCGGCCCCACATCCAGGCACAGCTGGCTTCTCTCTGTAATTCCCTGCCCCCTACCCTTACCCCTGCTTCTACTCTTCATCCTGGGCCCTCAGCTATACCCACTACCCACTGGCAACAGGTGAACTGCCCAGAACCAGTGCCATTCTGGGTCTCTCCTGCATGGGTGGGGTGGGCAGAACCAGGAGGAACAGAGCCCTGCTTCCAGATACCCTGCAGGATGCTCTGAGTAGCTATAGAGCTCTGGATGGTGGTGTCTGGATTTCCTTTTGCCTTAAACCTTCAACATATGTACCAAAAGAAGTCTTGGGCTTGGGTTGTGGCTCAGCGTTAGAGCGCTTGATTGCATGTTCCAGGTCCTGGGTTCGATCCTCAGCACCACGTAAAAATAAAAGTATTGTGTACAACTATTTAAAAAAAAAAAAGAAGTCTTAACTTGCCCCCATTCTAATCTCCATGTTTATTTTATTTATTTATTTTTATCATTTTATTAATTAATTAATCTTGTGTGGTACTACAGATCGAACCCAAGAGTACTCAACCACTGAGCTGCATCCCCAGCCTTTTTAGTTTTTATTTTGAGACAGTCTTGCTAAGTTGCTGAGGCTGACCTTAAACTTTTGAATCCTCCTGCTTCAGCCTCCAGAGTAGCTAGGATCACAGGCATGCACACCACATCTGGCTCTGTGTTTATTTTTAAAGTATAATCAGGATAATATTTACAGACATGAGAACACCTGGGTTCAATTAGGTATTTAAGTCATTCATCTTGAGCTAATGCCTATCTATACTTAGTCTCATCCAGGTCTCTCCTTAGCAGTCCCAAAGAATTAGGTTTTCTGGATCTTACATATGTCTTTCTCTTTGACTTCAAGGAAGCCTGATTTCAAATGCCCTGTAGATTAGAGACCTTCATCCACAGAGCTTTGGTGTTTTTTTTTTTTTTCCTTCCAATTTCAATCGTTTTCTCTCCCTTGTGTCAAAATAAAAAGCAAAGTATTATAGCCACATCTGACATTTGCACACTGACTCCATGAGCAGTTTCCTTACTGGCCCACACTGGCTTCTAATGAAGATGTCCAGAAATGAGGCCCTAAGAAATAGAAAACATACATGAGCATGTTTTGTGAATTGCTAAAGCCTGGTAAGAGACCTGGCAACTATTCAGGTCACTGCTTTTGATTTGTAAGGAGACCAAGTATGTGCTTTAAAAAGCATCTACTCCATTTATCATTATTAGTGCTGTCATTCAAGCTACTTCCCCTCAAAAATAAAATGCAAAAAACAAAACAAAACAAAACAAAAAAAAACACTTTACACACATCTCCTATCCAAACACATAACTCTGGTCAGTCAGGCCATGGTCTGGTTGTTGCTTGGTTTCTGATGGGCTGTTTAAGCCAGGGACAGTCCACTGGGCAGCTACAGCCTCAGAAAAAAGAGACTTTGGGCTGGAATTATGACTCAGCGGTAGAGCACTCGCCTAGCACAGGTGAGACTCAGGCTCAATCCTTAGCACCATATAAAAAAAATAAAGGCATTGTGTTGTGTCCATCTACACCCCCCCTGCAAAAAAAAAAAAAAAAAAAAAAAAAAGAGAGAGAGAGAGGCTTGGAACAGGGCATCCAGGATGAAGGAGAGGTTCCCAGCCAGAGAAGTTGCCAGATAACTCAGAGTCAGAAAAGCGCTCATTTTGAATGTAGTTTTAAAAACAGTTTCAAATAGAACACAAAGAGAGGTCTCTTTTTTTTGGAGGTGGGGTTGTTTGTTTGTTTTTATTTTTAACATAGTGTATGATGTTCTCTTTAAGATGCCAAACACGGCATCTGTCTAACCAAAGAAAGGCCTAAAATGAGAGGCTGAGTAAATTATCAAAATCTAATCTGGCCTGGGGCCTCCATCATTAGCTCTGAACACAGGCCAGGTATTCATTTTCAGGGCTCAACATAGAGGTCTGAGGTGTACAGCAAGAGACAAGCGAGGGATTTCACTTCCCAGGAAAGTGAGTCTCCTTCAGGGGACAGTCTGCAGGCCTCTGCCCCTCGCCTCTGGCTCTCTCTTCCTTCCCTCCCCACTGACATATTGAGTTTCACACATTTAAAAATAGCCCATGAGCAGTCAGCACCTGTGACTGAGCCTGGATCCCAGCCCTAAAATGTGTGCCTCCCTTGACCCCGAGCTGCCTCTGGGAGCCCAATTCTATCTCCCCATAATTTTTTCTCTACCTAAGTAGGCCCATGTCACTTGAAATGTTCCCAGAGATGTGGGACTCCTTAACCAAGTCTGGCTTTCTTCACCTCCTTAATAATTCATCTGGCTTGTCTTCAGGAGGCTCCTGTTGGCATCGCTTTCACTTTCTTACAAAACTCCCCTCAAATTCCCAGTGAATGCCCCCAACACGAGGACACGTTGCTGTTAAGGAGCAGTCCCTGCTCTACACAGCCTGTCCAAGCCCCAGAGAGGTGCACATGGCTGGGACGACTCTCCAGGCCCTGGCAGACCATCCTGGCCTGGGAACCGATGCGTTTGTCCCACAGAGCCCCCAAGGAGACCAAGAAGTCAGCAGGTCTGGAAGATGTTTCGGTGAGGGTGAAGATCCACAGCACCTGAGAACTTCCCACCTCCCACCGTTACTGCCTGTGTCCCCTGGCTGCTCCCAGGTAAGTCTGTGTGCCTAAGGGAGGGTTCCTGGCCCCTTAAATTTGACCCCCACTTTCCTGGCTGTAAATATTTTGCATTGCTGCAGTTAAGAGGTTGTGTGTTTTGAACATTCTTTCCTTTTCCAGAGGAGTCCCCTCACCTCCTCCCCATCACCTACCTGTCTGTACCTCCCTCTGTGCTCAGAAGAGCTTCACAACAGTGGTGACTTTTTATTGAATGCATATGTAAGTGCCTGATACTCTGAGAGCTCAGAGAGGTTAAGGAACTTTCCCAAGCTCACTCAGTCTTTTTTTGTTTAATATGTATTTTTTAGTTTTAGTTAGACACAATATGTTTATTTTATTGTTATGTGGTGCTGAGGATCGAACCCAGGGCCTCACACGCGCTAGGCGAGCGCTCTACTGCTGAGCCACAACCCCAGCCCCACACACAGTCTTAATGAGCAATCTGAGATGGCAGATTCTTCTCTTACTATGATACAGAGAAGAGTGAAAGATACCATGCATATGAAGAATCCGGCACAGTGCCTGGCACATAACAGGTGTGCAGTAAGGTCATACATGTAGTCACATGCAACTCAGAGGAGTAACACACTGATTTGGCTTTCCTCACAAACCCCACCTACTGGGCAGTGAAGAGAACACCTTTAAGAAGTCCCATCTGATAAATTTAGTAGGCTACAAAACCCAAAGAGCGTCTTTAGATAACCATCAGTTGCCCCAGATCTGCCTCTCCCAGCTCCTCCTCCTGTAGGCTCCCAGAGACCTGGGGAGGGGCCAGCATTCCTGTGTCTCTCTGACTGAGCTCTGCAGGGATGAGCCTCACTTCCTTCTGCAGGGCTAGGCCTCACTCACAGGGAAAAATGACCACGGCCCCCTCACCTCTTGGGCCCCTCTGGCGTGTGCCTCTCTCTATTTGGCCTGGATTGGCAGATCCATCCTGAGCTTTGGCCATGGGGTTCTATTTCCGGGCTCCAGAAGGTCCAAATCACACCTGCATCCCAGCACCCACCATGCTACGTAACAGAGGGTCACTTGGGGGATGACTGGCCCTCCTGGGAACACCAGTCCACCCCTTAACCAGCTGACTGCTCCAGGGAGGAGTGGGACCTCTTCTGGTGACCCTTCTCAGAGACAATTAAGCAGTCTAGGGCCCCCAGTGTTTCCCTCAATTTCTCAGGCCCACCATTCCCAAAGAACACATCTCCCTGCAAAGCCCCAGACCTTAGGCAGGCCTTTCTTCTTCCCCATGCTCCCTTCTTCCCAGAAGACTCTGAGTCAGCCAGGCCTGCTCCCGATATGCTGAAAGGGGAGGTGGGAATTGGGACAGCCTCTCTCCCTGTCGCCTTGCTAAAGAGGTCAAGGTTCTGTCCTCGCCTGCACAGGCCTCCAAGCTTCCTGACACACACTTAAAGGTGGCAGCTGAGAGCTTACGGCAGCAATTGGAATGCAATGGTTTAATATTTGAAAAAGTGGTATCCTCATTAGAATAGGTTAAGAGCGTGGGCTTTGGAAACAGAGAGGTTGGGTCTGTCTGTCAGCCCTGTTTCCTCAGACCACTTCCTTAAGCCTCTTCAATCGTCAGTTTCTTCATCTATGGGGAAACGATGATGTGAGGAGATGATAACATGCTTTACATAGTACTGGAACACACGAAGTTGGAGCAGTATGGACCATTGTCATTAGTGTTTTCCTTCTACCCTGTCATCTCCCTGCCTATTGGGGTGTAGGAATGAGGCGGTGCCGGGGGCCCTCTTGTCTTTTTCAGCAACTAGAGAGCAGAAAGGCCTCAGAGCTGGAACGCAGGCAACCACAGAAAGACATATAATGTTTCATATTTAATTTTGACATTTAATTGTAGGAACACTAATTATCTAATATTAATGAAATAAAATTATATTTAATATTAATTTAACTTTCTATTCAAGTTTAATTTTAAGTTTCTTTTTAAAACTACATTTTCATTTTTAGTTAACATGTGATAGTTGTATGTACTTATGGGGTACAGTATGACATTTCAAAACATGTTAATTAGTATATCTGTCATCACAGACATTTGTCATTTGTTCATGTGAACAAAATCCTCTACTAGGCATTTTTGAAATAGTCCAATATTATGTAGCACTAAGATAACTATGGTGTTGTCAACCATAGTTATCTTAGTGCTACATAATATTAGAAGTTATTTTATTCTTCCTGTCGGATTATACCCTGGTACCCATTAACCATCCCCTCTCCATCTCCTCTCTCTCACACCCTTCCAATGTTCTGGTCTCTAATAGTTTCATTTTATTATCTATAAAAGTAATTTATAAAAATTTTTTTAAAAAGAGCAAATCCACCTTAATCCTGTTATCCCAATATAACTATTCCCTTTCAACCTTTTTCTCCTTAGACAGTATCTATATAGCTCTCCATATAATATTTATACATATCTATGCCATGGAGGTTTTTTAGCAAAAAATTTTCTAGTTTGCAGCCTAAACATCATAACTGTCATTTCAGTGACTGGATAATATTCCAGACAGTGCGTGTATGTGTCATAATTTATTAGGCATTCCGGTGAGTTGTCAAGTTTTTATAGGTGCTTTATTTTTGTAAATTTCCATGGAATTTCTCAGAGACTGGTCAGTTGTTATTTCTTAAGACCATTGTAAAATGTCTAAGTAAAGTTACAAGAGTCACAGTTCCATGGGAAGGAGTGTATGCATGTATGGGTAGCATGGAGGACAGGGGTGTGTGTGACCTTCAGTGACAGTGGTGTCCTCTATTACTTACATGGCAGCTTTTGAGGGAAGAATCCCCTGATCTTCAAATAGTTTCTTCTCAGCCCTCCGTTTTGGCCCTTGAAGTTTCCCTCCAGGATCATCTGTGGATCTGGCCTTTCTATTTCGGGGATCAGTCAGAGGCTCCCATTACTGGGCAGCCATCTGGTAGCCCTGCAGTAAGCAGCTCCTCAGATATGCTGGCCTCACTCCTCAGAGTTACCACTTCCTGCCCTGTACTCTTAGGTAGCTCTTCCTGCATGTTGCCACACTCTCTGGAGAAGACCAGGAAGCACATCTGAAGCATTTTTTCATTCATTGAACAAATATTTATTGAGCTCCCACTATGCACCTAGTATTATTCTGAGTGTGTGATAGCACTGAGCAGGTCAGACTAGATCCCACCTCATGCAACCTACGCGCTAATGGGGGAGGCAGACAATAAGTAAATAATAGGACTCTTTCTGATATCAAAAACAAAATATGTGATAGTGAGTGACTGACACAGGGAGGGAACATCAGACAGGTGGTAACTTTGAACTCAAAGATTTAAGGATGAGAAGATTGATGGAAAATTGCTGAGAGAGAGTAAATTCCAAATGCAAAGTCTCTAAGGTGGGTGCAAGGTTGATGGATTCTAGAAATAGAGAAAACCAGGTGTCTGGTGAGCAGAGGGCAGGGTAAGAGAGGAAGAAGTCAATAGTCAAATATGAAGTCCAGGCCTTACACTGGGCCAGATGCCACAGAAAGAAGGTTTTTTGTTTGTTTGTTTTGGTGCTGGGGATTGAACTGAGGGACTTGTGCATGCAAGGCAAGCACTCTATCAACTGAGCTATATCCCCAGCCCCAGAAAGCACATAGGAGCCAGTAGAGGGTTTCAATCTGAGGAGCCACTTCATCTGTTTGTGTTCTACATAGATCACTGGCCTGTCTGTGGAGAATGGAGCCTGGGGAAACAGAGGGGAAACAGCAGACACTGAGGAAGCTTTTGTTGTAGCCCAAGAGAAATGGTGGTGGTTTGACCAGGGGTGGTAGCAATGGATGTTAGAAATAGTCTGGATTTTTGTGGAAGAATTTATAGGACTTGTAAACAGATTAAAAATGGAATGAGAAATCACAGATGACTCCTAGGGTTCTGCCTTCATAAGTGAGAGGTACCCCCTGACTCCAGTGGGGAATAGTAGGGTAGAAATGGGTTATGGTGAAAGGGGCTGGAGGGTTTGGGACATTTTATTTTAATTATTTATTTTTGTGGTACTGGGGATCAAACTCAGGGTCTCACATGTGCTAGGCAAGGAAGTGCTCTACCACTATCTTCCCTATCTTAGACACTTTAAATATCCACGTGGAGATGTCAAATGGGCAGTTATTCAAGTCTGAAAATGAAGAGACAGTTGGTGAAATAACCTCTGTGAATACATAAGGCAGAACACGGAGGGCTTTTAAAGCCATGGAGCTGGATGAGGTCTCCAGAGGACAGGGTAAATGGACGAGAAGAAGGTTCAGAGGTCTGTGCTCTCCAAAGAAGGGGCATCAGAGGGGACCAGGAAGGAAGAGCCAATGAGGTTGGAAGCAAATAATGAGAAAGGGATGACCTGTCAGCCAAGATACTCCTTCTATCCACATTCCACACTATTATCTGTCTGAGATCCGTGTAGGTGGTCAGGAAATATTTTCAGGAAGCACAGGTTCTGGGGCTGCTTGCTTGTGACTTTCTATCCCCTGACGTAGACCTGGTTGCATGATGGGTGGACACTTGACTGGCTGACTGCTGGCCTAAGAAGCTAACAGCTCCCCACTATCTCTGACATCAAGGTTGACACCTCCAACTGGCTCCAGAGGCCTCACCCCAGCCCCCACCCTCTGGTTCACACCCTGTGGCCCACTGTGCACACCCTTGCCTCCTGGCAGGGCTCACCCTACTCTGTGCCGCCTACGTGGCATGAGGCAAGCCCATTCCTGCCTCTTCTGGATTCTGGTGCTTCCCCTCCTAGAGTGCTCTTCCTTCTGTCCCTCTGCTGCCTCTCAGAACCTCATCCCCATTTCAAGGCTCAGCTCAGGGCTCAGCTCCCCCATTGCTCCATCTGCCTCCATTTTCGTACCCGATGGACGAGCCCTCAGGACCACTCTTCTGTGTTATCCTCTGTGTTTCTGCTCTTTCCACCAGGCCATCACAGAACCATGGAGGGGTTTTCCTGGAAACACCTCTCCCATTGATGGCTTCTCTCACCCTGG